AAATAAAAATTTTGGATTCCCGCTCTGCTGACCCGGCCGGGATATGAAAACCGCAAATATAAGTTTGTATGGCCTAATTAATATTTCTAATCTTAATCCAACTTTTAATTTTAACTTTAAATTCCAGTTTTTTTAATAAAATATATACTATTGGTAAAATTTAGTAAAATTCTTACGTACGTATTAAAATTATAAATTCAAATAATAAGTTATTTGTGTTTTAAGTTTTAAATAAAATTATATATATAGTATAATTTATATTTTTAATAAATATGTTTTTATTAAACTTTGAATTAAGATATCTTTATAACACCTAATTAGATTTAATAAAAATTTTTTATTTGAATAGTTAGGATATTTTATATTGCATATAAAAAAATTACCTATCGTCACCAATAACTACAGTATTAACTCTGAATTAAAATTTTATTATCGTGCAATTTATTAATTGATTATATAAGCGAATCCTTATTCGTCACGCAAATAATTTATTATACCCAAAATTGCAATTAATTGAAATAATTGCGATTTCAATTGATTTCCCCTGCTGGAGAGTACGTACTAAAGTAAATGTAATATATGTTATATGTACGAGATAATAAGTAGATCTAACAATAGCTGTAACGAATTTTAAGAAAAAGGGATTGCATATAATGAGAAAGGAACAATAGTTACTACGTTACGTTCTTCCAATCATCTATTAGATTATTAGAAAATTTTGCAGGTAAATTTCTCGAGCAGATAGAACAACGCCAAAAGCGGAATTCTGCACAGATTCTGCCACAGATTCCTGAACACCTTAATTTGGTAGTTCGTTCTTTGTTCCAAACTTCTGATTTTTTTTTAAAAAAAACTTCCATTTTAATACATGATTGCCAATAAGAATAGAAATTAGGCATCATAAAAACTCGAATGTGAATTTCACATACCATTATCCAAACTTGGTTTTGAGCAGGTTCTAAAAAAGCATTAGTCAAAAATTACATCATTATATACATTTAAAGATGCATAGATGTCGTCGATCTATCTAAAGTTGCTACTTTAGGTATATAAAGTAACACCTGACTAGAACTAAGCCCCTCAGATTAGATATTCATGCGTCAGGTGCTACTCTAGATATCTAAGCTACTTCAGATACATATCGATATATATCTTATACGTATATATATATGTATATATATGTATGTATGCAGTTTTATCTGTTATTTATAGATTTATTATCATTATTGTTATTTTTAAGTCACAGAAGGATTTATACATAGCGATAGATGCGTATATACATGTTAGCAAATGGGCATTTTTCGTTCAAATGAAGCAAAGGATATTTTTCTTGTGTGTAAAAACTTTAAATATAAATATATTTAGGTTTAAGGTTTAATAAATTCCTAGCAGAACGATGGAGTAATGAGGCAATAGAATAAAGCAGGCAAAATTTCCTAATAGAGTGCCAAAAATGTCCTGTCATTATATTTCGTAGATTCCAGTTAAAAATCTGACCAGTGACGTATTATATGTTACGTTACCGTTACTTATCGGATTTTTCAGATTAGCGGGAATAACTTTGCTAAAAATCTCATTGTAATTTCCGCTAATCTGACATTTAAACAATTGAGTCACGGCTCAAGCCACAGCTCAAGCTATGACTCTAAGCTATAGCTTGATTACGATTCAAGCTACAGCTCAATTGGCTTGGGTCAGCTCAGCTCCATTATGCGACTAGAGTCGGTCTCAAAGGAGCCGTTAACAACTCTATTGTTCACGATAGAATATTGGAATACGGTACTAAAAAATAGATTAAAGAAGCCTAGGTGCTGAATTACCTACTTGGAGGTCTTAAATATGATTCTGGCGCAAATAAAAAAAAAATATATATTTCTGCATATATAATATTAAATACACACCATCGTCACATAATTTTATGTTTATTAGGATCTACAAGTCTAAGTAAAATTCTTGTAAAAACGTCTTTATAGAATTTAAATTTACAAAATAATAAATTATATGTTTGTTTTTCGAAGGTAATAAAGATAAATATATGGGTAAAATATATAAGTAAAATGCTTTATCATTATCCATTAAACTACAGTAAAATACACCCCAGGTACAATAAGCAAAAATGTAGTATTTTAAAGAATAAATTTACAAAAGGTATTTTTTTATAAATTAGACTTGACTTGTAACGTGTATTAGGAAGAATATGTATTTGCTGGTGGGTGCATTTATAAAGATTTACTGTATCTAAAATGTAAACATGCAAACATGCAAAAGAAGCTTGCAAATTCTATCTTCACAAAAAAAAAAGTATTATAATATACATTTAATAATGTTAAGAAATAAAGGTAATAAATAATTTACAAAATAAAACTGATTATTATCGTTAAAAATTTTTCACGAATGATTCTGTGGATCCGTTAAAAATTGAAGAGCCGAAAGATGACCTTCGTTCATTATATTGTGATGCAGTTTCACTATTTAGTCAAGTTTTTTTGTGAATTGAGAAAATAAAATAAATGAATTAGATATTATAATAAATTAGGTAACTCTATGTATTTTTTTAATGAACCTTACCTAGAATCTTTATATACAAATAGGATAAAACAAAAAAGAAAATAAGTAAAGGTTTATAAGGTTCATAAACAAATAAAACATATATAACTAACATACCTTTCTGTGCAATACTTTTACATGAACTTGAACAAAATCTGGAATATCCTTTAGGAAACTTCTTTTTACAAGGGTTCTTTAAACAATGCTGACATTTAGGTATTTGTTTTGGAATTTTTGATTGTGAAGATGTGACCTTATCTGATAATATGAATGATTTTCTGTTCGAAAGACCGAATGCAAAACTCTTTGGTCGTTGTCCACTAGTTGGAACACTAGGCAATGGTTTTGATGGATTATATGTGCTAGCTCTTCTATTTGTTTTTTCAGAAGATTCATTTGTAAAAGTATAAGTACGGTTACTAGCTAAAGATATTTGAGAAGGTGATGTGGGTAATGAAGCTGTTGTCAGCATTTCTTGACTTGTGGATGAACGTTTATTGGATGATGATGATGATGATAATGATGAATGAGGATCCTCAATATGATGTAAATTTGATGAAGATGATGTATGTTCAGATGATTCATTCATGTACTCTGACGTTCCATTCAGCGTAGTTGCAAGCGGTTGTGGTGTAAGTAATTTCTGTGGCATGTTTCTTTGTGTCACGGATGGGAAATAATTTGTTTCTTCCGAATGTGTAGAACGTCTTGTAAGATTCATGTTATTATTGGAAGACGAGTGTCGTGGTGCATAAGTAGGGTAAGTCGAACTTCGAGTACTTCGAGTAGGTAGGATAGGTGGAAGGCGAGAGTTAATATTTTCAGGGGTAGACGAATAATTTTCAAGAACTTCAACATCCAATTCGTGCTTTATTCTTGAAAGTTCTGACATAAGCGCTTCATTTAGAGATTTAAATCCATCTCGCTGTTGCATCAGATCATTCGACCCTTTTCGCGATCGTTCAAGTTCAACAGTGAGATCATTTAATAAATCACGAAGACGACCCACTTCCACATGCAATGCCGCATTCTCAGTAGATAATTCATCTCTTCTCTGACGAACAATATCAAATTCTTCATTGATATGTTGTGAAGTATTTGCTTCAATTACTGGTATTTCTTTATTGTGTGATTCATTCTGAACAACATTATTTGAAGCTGTTTGTAAGCGTTCGAGCTCGGTCTGTAAACGTTCATTTTCGGTTTGCAAACGTTCTTGTTCAAAAGCAAGATCATGATTTTGACGCTGTAATTCTTCATGTTGTTCATTTAATGTATGATATTGTTCTTTCATTCTATTTAATTCTTTTGTTACATCACCAATTAAAGAATCTTTATCCTTTTGTTGATTTATCATTTGATTTAATTCATCTTGAATTCGCTCTAGTTGAGATATTGAAGTATTATTTTTATTTGATATTTCATCACGATGTTGAATAACATTATCCAATTTAATTTGCAATTGTTCTGATTGAGAAGACAAAGTATTATTATTTTTTGTTAATTCATTTCTTTGCTGACGTGTCACATTTAATTCAGTTTCTAGTCGCGATAATTGTGATGAAAGATCGGAAACTTGGTTGAAATAATCATCACGATCTTTTGTAATGGTTTGAACTAAACCAGATAATTCATCGCGTTCTTTTGTAATCTTTTGAACTAAACCAGATAATTCATCGCGTTCTTTTGCAATGGTTTGAACTAAACCAGATAATTCATCGCGTTCTTTTGTAATGGTTTGAACTAAACCAGATAAATCATCGCGTTCTTTTGTAATCTTTTGAACTAAACCAGATAATTCATCACGTTCTTTTGTAATGTTTTGAACCAAACCAGATAATTCATCGCGTTCTTTTGTAATATTTTGAACTAAACCAGATAATTCATCACGTTGGTTCTGTAATCTTTTGTATTCTTCATGGTTAACTTCCAACTTTGCTTCACCTTCAACAACCGGATCGGGATTTGAAGCTGAAGCAGCATTTTCATCACGTTGTTTTATGAAAAATGATAATTCATTTTGTAATTTATTAATATTAGTAGTAAGATCATCACCATTTTCACGTAAACGGTCGACTTCTTCATGTAAATTCTTATTTTCTAACATGATATCATTATTTTGATTTTTAATTTCATTCAATTCAAGTACCAACTTTTCATTATCAGACA